GAGAATATATCGATTACTATCAAATCTTTTTTTCAAATCTTATCTTCTTTTTTTATAGAACCACAAGTACGATCTATATGTAATCATGTGAGACCTGACAGACAAACATTACTATTTAGCGCAACATTCAAAAAGAAAGTGGAGAAGCTCGCTAGAGATGTTTTAATAGATCCCATTAGGATAGTACAAGGAGATGTTGGTGAAGCTAACACTGATGTAACGCAACATGTTATCATGTTCCATAACAATCCTAGTGGTAAATGGAACTGGCTGTTACAGAACTTAGTTGAATTTCTAAGTGCTGGCAGTCTTTTGATCTTTGTCACTAAGAAGGTGCGAAAGCTAAGCACCCTATAACTATAGTACAATGTGAAAGGGATGTGTAATCTAATGTTTTTCCTCTACATCAGCTGAACGCGGAAGAACTTGCCAACAATCTCAAACTGAAAGAGTTTGAAGTATTGCTTTTGCATGGTGATATGGATCAGATTGAGAGAAATAAAGTGATTACGGCTTTTAAGAAGAAGGAAGTCAGTACCTTGGTTGCTACTGATGTAGCCGGTAATTAAACTATTAATTTAATATTTTATATAAATGAGAAATTCTCATTCTTTTGTGAAAAGCTTACAAAATCTCATTTTTCTCATAAAATCTTACAATTCTCATTTTTCAGCACGAGGCTTGGACATTCCACATATCAAAACTGTCGTAAATTATGACGTAGCGCGAGATATCGACACACATACACACAGAATAGGAAGAACAGGACGAGCCGGTGAAAAAGGTACAGCATATACTCTTGTGACGGAAAAGGATAAGGAATTCGCTGGACATTTAGTGAGAAATTTGGAGGGAGCAAATCAGGAAGTGCCAAAGAGCTTGATAGATCTGGCTATGCAAAGCGCATGGTTCAGAAAATCAAGATTCAAAGGTGGAAAAGGAAAGAGTTTAAATGTTGGTGGAGCAGGACTTGGTTTCAGAGGCAGACCCAATTCGTCAAATTCGGTATATATCATAGCGATAATTTATATAATTGATTATCTTCTAGAACAACACACACACACACACACACACACACACACACACACACACACAC